TACTGTCCTTTACACTGCTGAAAAAGTCACATTTATGTCCTTTACGCCACACACTGTAAATAACAATATAACGATTTATGGTGTAAGTAACAGTCTCAAATAAAATTGTTGCTGTTTTTGGGCGTAAAGCAAGCGTATACAAAATGAAATATATCATCTGGGATTGAATTTACTGTAAATAGTGGAAGAAATTGCATTATCCTTTTTCCTTTTCATGAACTATGCATGGTATTTAGCTGACACGCTTATTTGATGGATTATATTAGTTATAAGATAACTATGCGATTATTGTGACCCTAGTATCACTTTGCAATGATTACATTACGTTAGTCTTTTAATTTATTTTGTGTATTATTTCATAAAAAAAGCTACCATTTTACTGTAAAATATTTTGTTAATTTTTTCCAACAGTGAACAGAACTAACAAAATAAAATCTCAATTCAAACACGCGCCTACTGCTAATTAACAAATATTTTATGGAAAATTCTGCAAGAAACAATGCTTATAATATAAATATACTATTCCAGTTATTTTCTATACCTATCAATCGATCAAGAATCTATTTTATTTGTCACTAAATAATGTACCTTACATTATATACATTATAACTATCTGTTCACAATAATCACATAATATTTTTCAAGCTATCGTTTAGGTTATTTAACCTTCGGTGTTTTCGACTGTAGTTCTAATTATACTTTGTAAATCCGTTGTTGTAATAATATTTAAAAACATTTATAAACAAAATGGGCAGTTTTGTATGTTTATGAAAGTAAATAATAAGCAGGAAAAGGTAGCTTTTATCAAACTTGCGGTTTTTAACTAACTGCTTACTGAAAAACAAATTATTTAACATTATGTGCTAATAATGGACAGCTACTAAGACCAAAATAATAAGGTATAATTAAAATCGTGTACAAAAGAAATTTTTACGCCTATGCTTACAAATGACTTGTTCTTATGCGCCTCTAGCTTTTTTGTTCATTTTAAGTTCTCTAGTATTTACGCTCTCAGAACTTAGAACTGTGGCACTAGAGGATAAAAAATATTGCATTGTAAAGTGTAATTTTTTAGAGATATCAAAATTTTGAGTATGAAGCTCGAAAGAGCTCAAAAACCTGAACAAAGCTGTATATATATCTCACTTTCGACATTTTGAGCTTTAAACGAATTGATATATACGATAAAAATACATTGTTCATACAAAACTAAGGCCACACTTGCTTGTACATTGGACGTTTTTCCCATTATGGTTTGTTGGGTCTTGGAGGACAAAAATTAAGTATAGTCTAACAAGGATGACTAGTCACTTTTACTTATACCTCTGAAAATATTACATATATACTGTAAATTTTATTAACTTCCACAAGAATATATCATAACATTTTTATCTTCTGAAATTTCCTCATCATCATCTGATATTTTTATTAAAAGGTCAGATTTTATAAATAACCAATGACTAACTGCAAATTCGGCCCAAACAGGAGATTGCATCTAGAATCATATTTAACGGAAATTAAGGGACGAAACGTCTAAAATAAATTTCAATGCGGGTTGAAAAGGGCTCAATGAATGAGTATTGATTGAGATACCTATCTTCCCAGTTACTTCTACAGAATCTCTTGCCAAATTCCGTTTGATTAACTTTATATTACCTTTACAAAGTTGTTATTTCAATCAAGGAAGTTTAAACATCCAAAGCATATCTCCTCTGTAATCGCAAATTCTCCAGAACACTAAAGCTACGAAATTTTAAGTTTCGCTATGAAAGCGTTTAAATGTGAACAATAGTATTAGAACTTTCAAAGACTCGTATAAAGTACAAAGTAAATTTCGGTGTGCAACACATTGTATCGTGCTTGAACGTGTTACAGTTAGAAATCCGTCAAGAAGGTTGTTCGCATCATTGCCCTTGCGAGAACTACGTCCGAGCCCGTTTTAAGGCGACGGCACAGGTTTACTACCACTTTACTTCCCAACAACCACCCTACGACGTGCAATGCGAATTTTACGATTTCTTCCTGACAAATTAAAAATGAGTTAGTTTACAACCGAGAATAAAATAATAAAAAGGAAATCCCATTACGCGAAGGCAGTCGGACCGCGACAATGTTATCCCGTCTAATAAATAGCCCGTATGACATCCGACCCCCTATATCGCGGCGTGAAGGAAAACAATCTCTCTTCTACCACGAGAAACAAGTCGAATCCCTTTTTATGAACGGTCACAGTTTCCTTGCTTGCTTTTTTGTTATAAAATATTCCTCGTCTTTTTCACGTCACGCTAGCAGTGCAGAGCAGAGGAAAATATTTCAAAGTTTTTATCACCTTTATGAAAGCTTTAAATTGCCACAAAAATGTACCCACTTGCGAGAGCTAGAGTTGTTTTAAATAGCACATAAATGTTTTGGTTGAGATTATACAATTTTTTCTTTTCAATTTTGGTACATAAAAAATGCTGTTTAAAAGAGACTTCAACACGTTTGCTTTTGTAAGACTTAAGCTTTCAGTTCCATTGCACGTCACTTCACGAACTACTTAACAAATTCCAACTCCTTATCACTCGAAACTTCGATGCACTCGACGCATTTGACGCGAGCGGAATGAAAGTATCATAGTCTATAGCCGGAGCACAAGTCCAGTTTCAAAAACACCACGTTGAAGAGGTGGGCAAACATCAAACGAGTGGGTGCGGACAATCGCCTCCACTCTCAGTGATTAAAACCAAAGAGGCGTTGACATAATTTTACGAGCGTTTGCGTGACATCGACGTCTCTATTAATTTATGCTGCTACGACGGAATAACGCTTTTTAAACGAATCATGTTTAGCCCTTTGAAATGAAAGTTGCAGGATATTATTAAATGAAAATTATTTGATCTTTTGATTTATAAAGAACTTTTGAAACGGCTATTTATTGATGCAATGGAAACTTATTCTGTCACATAAAATATCTACAATAAGTAAAAGATCTAGATTTACACTTCACTTTCAAACTTTTAACGGAAAGTTTCGTTCATTAATTAATGGTTCAGTCTGTTTCAACTTTTTTTTATGATACCCAGTGACGGGACGAACAAAGGCGCCTGGTGGTAAGCGACGCACCTGCCCATAATAGTTGACAGTACCACTCAGGGCTTTAAATCGCAAAGATCTGAGGGGCCCTGTCATTGAACCGGTCGTCCTGAGACATAAGTTGACAAGTCCCATACTCCTGTAATTTTACCAAAACCAGAACGCAGTAGTGCTCGCATTACTACTTGGCAGCACATATATATCATATTCACAAGGACCTCTGCTGCTATTAAAAAAAACTCACGTCTATTCTCCGCGTTTTTCGCTATTTGTATTTGCTATCATAATTACCATTGGGTAAATATTCAGTTTAATTTGCGGCTTACGCTTGTAGCGGTGAAATTCGGACGGCGGTGTTCAAATGCCAAAAGCAGTCTCTGTGGTCAGGAGTGGCTCACACACGAAATAGGGTACTATTTACCACTAAATAGTTTATTTCAATGAAAAGCGCATTTTGACGTTTCGTAACATCACTGACAATATTCGTGTCTATTTATTTACAGTACCATTCATTCTGCACACAAGACTTGCTTCTGACAAAATGAATTAGAGTACTATTTTTTCACATTTATATTTGTTCATTGTCTACATATATACTTGCAAATTATATGTTATTTAAAATAATTCTACTAACAGCAGAATCACGGGTTGTGTTCCCTTTAGTGGAATTTCTACGTTGTTTAGTGTTGATACATCTGATAATTACTCGTTGGTATTTGAGTACAGGTGTACTTCCGCTGGCCGGGTATCGGAAAGCGCATTATAGAAGCTTTACGCCCAGCGAATACACAGCTTATTAAAGTGCACCCTGCATGACCAGTACGAGTAGACTAACCTACCTATTGCGCTATAGAAATAACAGTAGTGAAGAAAATAGGAAATTTTCAAATAAAAACAGCGAGCGTTGTTGTGAGTACAATGGTTTTTTGGCAGTTTCATTTGTGCTACGTTGAAATGAACTTTTTATATTATTTTGTGAAATATGATAGATGGCATTTTTATTATTTGTTTGAATTGAAAGGTGTAGGGATTTTTGGATGCGGGTTGGACGGATTCCATATCTCGTATATCGATGTCTTATTATTCATGTTTGGAAGACAATTATTGATGATAATGCTTTTATGTCATGTAATACATCAGAGATATACATAGGTACACGCAGGTTTTCCGGTATATTTCTAGTGTGTTTTAAGTTCCTGACTTTTCTTTCTCGAAGAGAAATGGAGAAAACAATGGATTTATTTTGAAAAGATTGACACTCGTACATGTTTTTTTTAATAATATCAAGTGACGGGACGAACAAGTCGGTAAGGTGGTAAGCTACATGCCTGTTCATAATAGTTGCAGTGCCACTGAAATGACCACATGAAATCGCCAAGATCTGCGGGGCACTGCCACTGCGCCCGTCACCCTGAGACATAAGTTGACAATTTTTAATAACTTGAATTTGAAAAGTCCTATGTATCTGTAATTTCACCAGCACCCTTACCCTTTAAAACTGGAACGCAGTAATGCTCACATTACTGCTTGGTGACAGAAATAAGTAAGGTGGCAGTACTTACCTGGATTTCTTTCAAAAGGAGCTCTAATGCTACAAAAAAATTATCAGGTAATGATCAGGTTAGTTGTCTCTACCTAATTTCGGAGACAATTTTTGTTAATTAAATATTCGCGTATATTGTCGTGAAATATCAAATAATATTCCAGGTTACTACACTCGAATATTAATTAATACTTCATGATAATATTCTAGAATATGTAAATAACAAAAAGTGCCACCACAATTAGGTACAAAAAAAACTATCCTGAAAATTACTCACATATGAATCGCCAACAGACGATTTAATTGCTTTTTGGTAAAGAATAATAACTGAAAATTTTAGGTGGTTTTACATGTTTTTACAGTTTATTTTCGTTATTGACAGGCGTTCCTCGAAATGGCGGAAGAGATAGCGGCTGTAGCGATGGTGGCTTATTTCGGCGGTTGCGTGGCGCAGCTGCGCGGTCGTGCCGTCTACGTACAGTTCTCCAACCACAAAGAGCTCAAAACAGATCAAACGCACAGCAATGCAGTAAGTTTTTATACGTCATATTATTTTTAATTAATCACTCACTGTATAAACACGCTTTAGATAACTTTCTGATGACTGTTGTGCGCTGTTCTGACTCCTTTAAATAGTATTTAATTTACAGGGCATTAAGAAAAAAAATACAAGTAACTTTGCAATAGTATTTAAGCAACAAATTGCTATAAAAACCATTCTTCAGCAACCACCCTGTTTTAGGCCTGTAGCCACGTCTCCACGCAGGTATACAACCTGAATTTTACCTAGTTCACGTTTACGGATTGAGTCCCAACGGTATAATTTGTCTGTTTCGCCTAGGTTACCACGTTTCACTTGTCACGGCCACTTCAACCCAAGTGTATTACCTAGCAATAAGAGTTCCTATGCATTTGGTATTTATTATACTTTGGATTATTTTCTTACATCTGTTTTCAAAAGGATGTAATTTAATTCTTGGTGAAGAAATTATTTGGTGAAGAATTTCATTATAATTACAATACAGAAACGAAGCTATTATAAACTGCCTCTGTGGCCGAACTGTTACCATGCTGGACAGCCACGCAGAGGTCCCAGGTTCGATTCCCGGGCCAGGAGAAATATTTGTATGGCCTACATTTCTCTCGTGAGTTTGGGTGTAATTTGTGGTTATCTATGTGTGTGCCCATGGCACCCGCGACTCAGGGTTTCCCTGGTGCGGGGCTATGTTGAGTGTGTGCGTTATTATAAAAAAAAATGTAACGACTTCATTAAAAAGACATCTACAATAGTCTTCCGAATGAAATTTTTAAATAAATATTGTCTTAAAAAAGTAACATTTCGATTTGTTGTGCAACACGATATAAAGAAAATTAGCATAACATGTAATACGAGCACGTGAACTGGAGATGTTAAGGACGATACACTTGATTTTAGACATTAAACAGCAAATAAATCAATATAATACTCTAATTATTAAATTGAAACGTTTGATGCTCAACAGCATATTTGGTACTAAAGGATAATCCGCTTGTATTCGTAATGTGGCTAATTGAACTATGGTTACGTTGTTACGGAATCACGTTTCGCTGTACGCGGATTCCGGACTTACCCAAATCGAGGATTAGCGGGATTCATCAGTTTTAATGGGAAACTATTGATCGTTTTTTTTTTAATTTTAATTTCTGATATAATTTTTATTTTTTATTTATTTCAATTTCTTAGGCATTCGCGATTGTTACACATAGGAAATGAAACTATTTTTCCGGGTTTAAATCGCGTATATTTGTTTTTTTCAAACAAACCAACGTTTCGGGCCCTTTACAGGTCCCATGGTCACTGCTGACTGAGCTGGTAAAGCCATCAACCATCTAATATTAATGCAAACAACCTCATTTTTTCACTATGGTTACAAAAGATCTTATTTTTTATTTTCACAAACATTCCAATTTACGCTACAATATGTTATACAAATTATTTTATTGTAACGATATGAATTTTTATTAAGTTAAATTTATTATTAATTTATAATAGAAATTAGAATAAATTAAAACATATTAGTTAGTACTGCAGTTTTATGTCTATTTTATTTATTTTTTGTTTATTTCATCAAAATTACACAGTATTACAGTAAATCACCAAGACACTGTAAAATTCAATAACTAGATAGTATTCATAGTAAATCACAGATGATAGTCGCTCATCCATCATCTCACAAAACTTCAAGCATTCATCGTGCACCACCTACTTGCAAAAACATCGCAATCTGGTGCAGATTCGAGAAGCGCATTAAAACAGTAAAGAGCGCAAACAAGTGGGGACTTACTGTGTGACACAGTGCGCACCGCCGGCATTGCCAGAACATGGTGACCACGTGGGCGCCGATTAAATTTATTTAGCGGGGGGATGAACAGGTGCTCCAATTGCTACTAATTTATCCGTAAAGTCTATTCAAAATCGATTTACATAAGGTTATTCCTTCCTATACTATATAAATAATAGCAGTATTAGAGCCCTTTTTCCTAAATATACCCGAAAATAACCAATTAATCATTTGGAAATAGTTTGAAAATTATCAGCTTACTTATTAGCTCTGACCGTGGAACCACCCGCTCTCAAAGCCGACGAAGTTGCCAATTGTGATATTTAACCCTCCGGCCATAGATTGCAGTCGACCTGTTAATTTAATCTTTGTAAGGGGCATCAAGAGCCCGCTATTTAGATAACACAGTATTCAATAAACCCGCATGCCTCGTCGGAACCTGGTAAACGACGTTGTTCGGATTTGATTGAGTTATCTAACTCTCAACGACTGTCTATTCTGAACGTGATAGTGCGTGCGTGACTTCGACATTTATGCCTATTGCTAAATTAGTGAGTAACTTTGTCGACAACCGTTTATTGATAGAATTAATATTGCACATACCTAAGGTGATGGCGCCAGTGACCGACAAGCACCACTGTTCGTCATCTTTTTAATTGACTTCAACAAAGGGTGGATGTTCTCAATTCGACTGAATGTATATTACACGATAACGCCGGTATTTGTGACCCGATTTCGATGATTCTTTTGTTGTTGGAAAGAGGGTACCCTAGCCCCATTCAAAGTTTGAAGAATATATTCCACCTCTAAGGGTGGCAAACTAGGGGATGAATCCGGTTTCGCGCACTTTCCGGTAACCGATTTCAATAAAACTTTGCAAATAGATGTAATTCCACAAACTTTTGAGGTCGATTTTTTTTAGATTATTTTAAATTAATTTCGAATAAGATTTAAGTCAACATTTTTGTATCATAGTAACACATTTCTTATTGCTAAGTATCAATTACTGGGTGTTCATTTTTGGTGAGTGTCGATTACTGGTTAATTAATTAATGGATGTTTGGTGTTCATTATTGGAGATTTAGTGAAGTTCTATTTGGGATTTTTTAGTAATAATTATAATAGCCTTTTTATTGATATGTTTAAAAACAAAAAGTTATTTCAAATTTAAAGACACATTTCATTTTAATTTAATAATTTATCATTATCATTACCCTTCTCATATCAATTCAAGAAATACACACATCAAAAGTGTCTACGAGTCAAGGTATTTGTTTTAAAATATTCGATTACTCTATTAAATTTAATAAAAAACGTGCTTGATCCCTAGACTCTTTTGATGTGTATATTTTGCTATAACAGGAGAAACAAGGAATCAACTGTATTTCATAAAATTATATTCAAATTCAGTAGCTATTTGTTAATTTTAGTTTTCAAAATTTCTGTTATTTACAATCTGGGCCCCAGAGTATCTAACACTAACGTCACAGTACATTTATGAAAATGTTATTTATGTTAAGAAAAATATTATTTTATAAAAAATACTGACAGACATAATATTAATACGAGGAATAAAAATGAACTAGCTGTTCTTGACAGTCGTCTTCATAAAGTCTCAAATTCATGTAAGGGGCAATGTATACGCTTCTATAATAAGAATCAAAATTTGCTATTTAAGAGGTTTAAAACTATTGTGAAACAAAAACTTTTCAAAAAAAAAACAATTCTAAAGGTTATTATTATACAACTTTTGCGTGGTTCGAGGGAAAAAATTCGTGGTAGTGACCCGTTTAGCTCTTGCAGAAGTCTCGATCTAAGATGTTTAAATTATATATTGTAATGATAAATGTATTGAAATGTATATTTACAAAGAGCAGCCCCTAGAGTTTCTTGCTCATTCTTCTCAGGGGAATCTGCCTTACGAATGAGCAGTAGAGTTTAATCAGTATAACGATTTCAATTGTATTTTGCTTACCTATGAAATAAAGATTATTTAAATTTGACTTTAAATTGCTGAGTGCATCAATAAATACAAATTCTACGATGCATTATACGAAAATAAATCTTTCAAAGTATATATATTTTAAAGAAAACCGACAATCACGGGTTATGAAATCCTTCACTATGACGTTGCATATTTGAAAATGTTCAGCAAGTTTTTAAGACCTCATTCAACTTCGTCATAGTCAGCATTGAAATAAGTCACGTTTAAACGAATTTTTTATTTCAAGTTTCAATTTGCTTTTTGCGAGACGCTCTGGCAATACTTGTTTAAAATTAAACTCCATTGTCAACGTCTCTGGCAGTAAAAATTATGCTTAACCCATTTACTACCATCCCTTGATGCTTAAAGTAATTTGTTTTACTTTTATTGCTGCCCCGTAAACACATAAAGTAGCTCAGGTGCCGTATACGATGGTACTTACATACGTCTATTGTACGGTATAGCTGTAAGTATCTTTCATCGCTCCTTTTCGTTCGACAACCCAAATGATAGTTAGCGGTGATAATCTCGCCAACCTCGCCTTTCTTCGCAAATGCGGCAATGGAGAAGGAAAGTAATATTTTCCGTAACAAAACCCCAATAGGAGGATTAATTACAACGCTTAATTAGTTTTGTTTGTCCACGAAACCTGTCATAAACAAAGCCCAGCCTATACCTACCATTTTTAAAACAGATTATATCAAGCTACGGATAATAGCCACTGGTCAAAATTGAATCAATGTAATTGCACGCGTAACGTGATATCGATACAGGGTTGCAAATAGAACTCACCGTGAACTCTTTTTTCCAATTTCAAAAAAACGGATGGCAACAGTTTGATTCCTTTATGAAACGAATATATATGCATTTGAGTGTGTTCACTGCACTGGTTTTTTATATCAAGTTGTATTTTTAAAATATTTGTGATAGGTGCTAATAGATATCTACAAGATCTGATTGCTGAATTAAAGACGCTTAACCAGATAAACTTTAAGCAAAACATGAAATAAAGACAAAACGTTGAACTAACACTACCTACCCTATTTATTCAACATACACTGATAATTTGAGAACACAAGCTTAGATTTGTAATCCATAACTGAAGTGATCTCTCACTTGTTTATTAATTAATGGTATAATGCCTTGTTTGCAGTTAATTGTCAACAGACAAACACGCGTCTCAGTCAACAGTATTAATCAATGCCACGATTAAACGCAAAATACTACAGATCTGTTTGATGATATAATTCGACGGATTTCAAGAATTTGCAAAGGATTTAATACTGCTTTGTGAATATTTTTCAAAAGATATAGAAGTATCTGTGCTGAATACAAGTTCAATATATTTTTACATGCCGTCAAAATGAAAGACGAAAATGAAAATGAAGAAGAAGGAGAAAGCGGTGGCCATGGTTTGGCATAGTTACAGGTTCGAGTACGGTCGAGTCGAAGGATTTTTTCTTTGTGTTCGATCTTTGTATTAATTCACAAACAGACTAGTGGTATAATTTCATTAGATGCCGGAGTTCCTCAGGGTTCCGTACTATCTGCAACTCTCTTTCTGCTGCATATCAATGATATGTTAATTCCAGGTACCTTTGCGTATGCTGATGACAGCACAGTCTGACTCTTGCATTGCTCAAGTACCTATCTACAAAGATAGGTACTTGACCAATGTCAGTGGAGAGGAAATCCAGAGGAAATCCAAATCTAATACTGCTTATCGGTATTAACCAGGATGTATCACGAAGAGTGCGATGGAATTACACGATTTAATTCCGCCTTCCCCTTTCCATCACCGGGGGACTAGGCGTAGGCTTGGGTTCCACCCCTATGTTGTGGATATTCCAAAGATTCGCACGAAGCGTTACGCTTCCACATTTAAATGGCGAACGGCTATGGAGTGGAATTCCCTGCCTGCAGGCTTGTTCCATGAACGTTATAACTTGGACATTTTCAAGGCGAGAGTGAATAGGAATTATTTTGGTGTGCATGCTCCATCGTCAACCTCATCGTCACTTTTCATCAGGTGAGATGGAGGTCAAATGCGCACTTATATTTCATTAAAAAAATGCACACTTACATTTAATTTCAAATATAAAATTAATAGCATCATGATATTCATCAAAAATTAATATTAGAAAATGAAGATTCAAATAACTTACACTTTATAAGTAAGTTTGCAACGTAAACTTGAACGTTTCTATGTGATATAATATAATAAATTTTAATAGTTTAAGAAATGGTCTTTCTTAAACTATTAAGTATTTATGTGAAAAAGTTGTGAGTTAATTAAACCATCCGCAGAATGAAGCGGGTTGTTTCACAATAGACATGGCACCCGCGCCGGAGATGCGCGCGGGTCAACTTGAACTGGTCATTGCCTTGATTCGTTCAAGTGCGGGACACCCTCAAGATACATAATCAGAAACACGCAAAATAGGCGCCTTGTCGTCGAGTTGCGGACACCAGCCCGTTACACCAAGTACCAAGTACCGAGTACATAATCAGAAATCGTGCAAATAAATCAAGGCCAGTGTGAACAGTTTTAATTTAAATTAATTATGTTTGTACATGTACAAGTAATACATATACTATGTTTTTAATATATCGTAGTTTCGGCCTTCATATACCTTCAACCTAAGTGAAGAATCTAAGACTTTACTTCTGTAGTTCAGCCTAAATTTGAAATTTAACTAAATAACAGGGGTGTTACACTTAAATGGACTAGCAATTTACTAAACAATGGCTAGAATCTGCTCAACAATCAGAGGTAATAAACAATGTGGGTTCAAATCGACCATCTATCTCTCGAGGGTTAAGTCTGCAAACATTCCGAATCCGTCAGAGTTGAAACTTTGAGTTTAAAAGACTGAATGGACGAGTTAAAGTCAAGTTTTAAGACGAAAGTTTTGGATTATACCATATACCTTTAGTATAAAGTACCTATTTTCGCTGAAACAGATGTATAAATTGTGCAATGAAAACATAAAACTTCGAACATATCTTGTAGATTTGTATAATTTATAACAAATATTTTATTTTAAAGCTATCACGATAAAATAGTTCTAATATAATGTGTTACTTTGCAATAAAATTTAATTGCAATTTGAACCTAATTTCTTTAATAGGTAAGCCTATATAAATTAATAAACATACTGTGAGTTGATGAAAAACACTGTGTAATGGACATTATAACAATAAATCGCGCAGTAAATATCATTAAGTATACTCCTATAGTCACCACGGCTATTTATTATGGCTCCGTCATCCGTATTTCCTCGACTCATGATAATGATGTGGCCCCGTAGGAAACTCGTTACCATTATCAGTTATTGATGCCTTTCAGACACAGATGGTCGACTTTGCAAAGTTTTTTTTCTCGTCATTTCATTGCAACGGTTCTAAGATATCTTTGTAGTCAATATGTTTTTTGGCTTTTTAGAAATCTAAAACTTACAGACGTTGCCACTCGTTATTGCTGTTTTTTCTTATAATGAAAACTATTAAGCTCGGGTTATTTATTGAATTAGTGCCTATATAAACTGCTTAATTAATTGTTCTTTTTATATTTTGTATTTTAAAAACTCCAACGTTCTTTCAAATATTCTGTCTGCAAATGTTTCGTTAAATCTAAAACGTAAACGTATAGAAATATAGTTCATTATAGATCTTCTGTATATTATAGTTCGGACAAAGACGAACTCCTTCACGAATTTGGACCCTTCGTACCGGGCACTATTAAAACTTATAATGAGGGATGTTATAGACAGATGAAGCATTACTATTGTTATTGGGGATCCGAATGATACGCTTCCAGCCTTTCTTACTTAACCGCTCACGCGATGCGCTCCTCTTACCACAAAATGGCGGCTATTTGGTTTCGCAAATTAGAAAAGCATTCAGTTTAAATACAAGTTTTTATAAATAAAAATTATTATTCTGCATTGCTAAATAAATACCCCCCGTACTACCAACAAAAACATCTCAAATAAAATGTAGTAATACACCGTAAATCCTGCACTTAAAAAGCACTAATAAAATTTTTCATGTACTTGGATAAATATGATAATATTCCGTTTGAGTGGTTCTAACGTTTACCATGAAATTACTCCTTAAAGTATAGGTTATAAACACTTATATTCAGGGTAAACTTAAAAATCGCTACTTACGGTATGTTTTCAATAAATAAACACCGAAATCACCAGCCCAAACAATAACACACACTATTGTCGTGACGTATTTTTGAAGTTGTTTATTTTTTTTAAATGACAGACCCAGGCAATAAAAACTTTATGGTTTGCTAGAGTAGTTACCGAAATAGCAATTAATATTAGTTCTTTTACCTGTTGTAACTTCGATATCCGATAAATCGGCATAAAATCATCACCGACACCTCTAAGTGTGGTACGCGTCTACGGCAGCATGTATCGCGTGAGCGGATAAGGTTATGATTATTTTTGGCAAGTGATGGTCTTTGTGTAGATATATACCAAAAAGTAAACTAAAATATCAAAATATAATAATTTCGTTCGTAAAACCCGTAGCCACTGTTAGAGTGATTACACACGGCGACTTTTTGCAGCGACGCAAACGCGCGTTCGTGAAACGCGCGATTGCATCGCTACACTTGCGATTTATAGGCGATTGCATCAATACAAACGGGCGATTGTATCAATACAATCACCTATAAATACCAAGTGCAGCGATGCATTTGCGCGTTTGTATCGATCCTGTCGCGCGCTTGCATCGCTGCTTAAAACCGCGAGCGTGTGTAACGGTAGACGATTAGCGCGCCGTGTGTAACCGCTCTTAGATGGAATGGTGCTATTTTTCCTAGATTGTCGCTAAAATATGTCCGAAGTGCATTTTAAAGGACATACGCCGAATGCAGGGCTTTGATCAATCATGCGACTCCGAAGGTTTTTGTGGTTGGTGAATAGAACTCTCCATCGCAGTTATTTTGTCGCGTCGTCCCGTTTCTAACGTCTGCTATTGCAAAAGATTGCGAAAACCTTTTAAATAACTCTAGAGAGTTGCCGCCGAACTCTATAGAAAATTGATGGAATACTGGCTATATACGCCGCCTGGTCTTTTCAACTTCAGATTTGTTTCCTTCAATTTCTACAATACAAATTTTACCTAAAAGTATTTTAGATTTTTTTTTGAATTGATTGTATATTTTTTTTTTCTCTTTTATTGCACCTTTTATGTAATGTAAAGGACATTAGATATTATTTCCAAATGTTAATGGCTAGATAACAAAGAGAAAATGGCAAGTAACGCAATAAAATTTTTAGAGGACCACAAATATCCTTGTCGCGTTATATACACGGGAGAATATTATGTGACACAGGAAAAAGAAAAGGAAGGGGCAAGTCGAATTTGTACCGAAGCCTTTGCCGTCGACAGCAGGCTTACCATGACACGGTTAAAGCCTTATTTTTGCGTCTGGCCTGCCCGCTTGTCAGCCCGGCGACGGGCACAAAGCCATGTGAAAATATAGGATCAAAGTGTGCCACGCCCTGCACGCGATCGGGCCCCTCGTCGGTATTTCACCCGTTCATTCGCACGTTTTTTTCTCTATTCACACCTACGGCTCTTTTCACAGCTCATAAAATACACGGCCAATTTTTTAATTTCCTTATAACGGGGCTCAACGACAATGGGACGCCCGTACAACAAAGTAGCGAATTGCCCCCGGGCAATACAAAATAAGTTTATGAGTGTCCTTTGTTTGATGTAGTCAATGTTATCTGGTGGTCTTGGAACACTCGGAAGGTGGCTCACGCGTCCAGGAGATATCATTCCTGCCCCGCATTACGTTTCCTTGCTCGGGTATTATGTGAGATTAGTGGACATGTTTATTTTCCTTACGTGACCGTAATTGTCTACGTGACCTTTATTTCCTCAAACTTGTTGTAAACATAACGGCACTATATTCGATGTATTGTTGCGTTTGTCTTTTACGATAGTAATAAAAATCTTGTTTATTCTTATTGTATTGTTAGTTAAGTGCGTATTTGATTGCTGACTGCAGTAGCTTGGCTGCATTGTCCAGTCTAGACTTTAGAACTCTGACTTTGCTATAATACAAATTCATCCAGTAAACAATACTTGTAGAGAAATGCTTAATACAATGTCGAGATTAACATTACAACTAAAATTAGGTGCTATTGTTGCAGTCGGCGTCGGCGCAGGCCGCACTTCAGGCGGCTCAAGCCATCTCGAACAGCGCGGGCGCGGCACTCGTCGCAGGCGCAGGCGCCGCGCTGCAGCCGGCCAACGGCGGCACCGAAATACAGGTAGACCGCACACCGTTTTCTATTATTTTTAAGAGAATTTCATTTCCTTTCATAATATTCCAATCTTATGATAAATTTACCCATTCAATGACCAAGTTAACAGAAAACGGGAATTAGATCATATTTTTAAGGACTTGCGAATAGGGGAAACAAAAGGAATAGTCAGGGTTGCGTGATCTCCGTCTATGTCACTAGGAGGTAGGTGTGACAATTTATATGTAGGTACGTCTGTGAGACTACATAGTTCATTGGTAACACAGTACGTAATTGTATTGAAATTTGTTTTGTTGAAATCCTGTTTACTGTAATTACCTACATGTTGAACTATGTATTTTTCGATATACTTTTTTATCTACATGTATATAAACTGGTCTTTTACATTATACTTAGATGTTAAATTTGTATATATGAGATTTTTTTATATAATATTTAGTGACGGGACGAACAAGTCGTGCGCCTGGTGGTAAGCTGCACGCCAGTCCGTAACAGTTGCAGGGCCACTCAGAGCTTTAAATTGCAAAGATCTGGGGGGCACTGCCACTGCACCCGTCACCCTGAGGTGTAAGTTGATAAGTCCCATCTGTCTGTAATTTCACTAGCATAATCTAAAATATAATCAACATAGTTTAAAATTGAATCAAATTACATGTAATTATAAAGCCGTGTTAGCGTAATGGTTTGACCTACCGCCTCTCAAGCAGAGACCGTGGATTCGAATTCGAGCTGGTCCCTCTTAGTTGCTCGGAATTTAAGTGCGAAATTTTATTGGAAATTTACCATGAGCTTTTCCTATGAAACCTACACATTGAAGAAGGTTCACAACCCTTGGAAAACGTGTGAAATTCCCATCGACTATAGCCTAAACCCTCTGCAGTAGAACGTATCGTATAAACGGCTTGATGTTGATTTTTTAAATTAAAAGTAAATAATCTAGCCATTAGGCCTTCCGTCGTGATCTTTTTTGACTGACAGACTTGAACGGACAGACAGTTTGCTCGTGTTCTTTTGTTTAAGTAATTATGTCACTTGTTGCGAACAACGTGAACGGACTGCTGTAATAAAAAAAGAAAGCCTCGACTTGGATTGTCCGGCTTTTTATTTCACTATAATTATTAGTACCTCAGAAAGGGAACCACTAAAAAAATAAAGATCACAACGGCCATTTTAAATATTACACGCGTGCCCGAATCAGGTTGGTGTCAGAGGAACTGCAAATCGGATTGATTCCAGAGTACATGGAACAATGATTCTTCTATTCAAGTAAACTGAACACAATTTAGTGGCAGCAGAGCAGCAGATCCTTATGAAAGAATTTGTCCAGAGAAGTACTGGCACTGTACCTACTTCTGCCAAGCAGTAATGTGAGTATTACTGCGTGCCTGTTTTCAGGGTAAGGGTGCTGGTTATCAACAGGCACATGGGACTTATTATGTCTCAGGGTGACAGTCGCAGTGGCACTGCACCTCAGATCTTAGCGATTTAAAGCTTCGAATGACACTGCAATTATTATAGGTAGGTGTGTCGCTTACAGCAGACACACTTGATAGCATAAAAAACAACAACACATCTTCAGAATTATTTTTTATGAACTAAGTGCAAAATAATATGTCATAAACGTCCTAATAGAATAATAAAACAGCGAGAAAATATGATTTACAGAGTCAATAGAACACGTAACTTTTTTCACATTTACTCATATTTTTCTTTTATGATACGAAGTAACGGGACTAAGAAGTCGTGCGCCTTGTGATAGGCGACACGCCCGCCCGTAACGGTTGCAGTGCCACTCATGGCTTTAAATGACAAAGGTCTGAGTGGCACTGCCGTTACCATTATTATACATAAGTTGACAAGTCGCATGTGCCTGTATTTTCACCAACACTTCTTACCCTTCAAAACCGAAACGCAGTAATGCTCACATTACTGCTTGGTGGCATTACTTCCCCGGAACGAATTCTTTCACCTTAGATTCCCATTCACATCCAGAATTCACATTAGATTTTACATCCATACATGCGTGTCCTATTGTGCGAAAGCATCATTTAGAGCGGTTACACATGCCCACTTTTAGCAGCGATACAAACGCGCGTCCGTGAAACGCGCGATTGCATCGCTACACTTGCGGTTTATAAATAGGCGATTGCATCCATGCAAACGCGCGACAGCATCGGTACAAACGCGCCATTGCATCGATGCTATTATCTATAAATTCCAAATGTAGCGATACAGCCGCTATTTGCTGCTTAAAGTCGCGCGTGTGTGTAAAGGAAGAGGATTAGCGACTGCAACGCTACTGCATCACGTTTGGATTGCGTCTGCATCGCTGCTAATAGTCGCCATGTGTAACATCTCATAAATATAATAAATTGTGTCTTGTATGAAAATGAATACTTGCTCATGTCAGTACAAATACTTGAATATACATTGGCCTATTCGTACATAACGCTATGATATTGAAATGTTATCATGAAATAATAGAAAAATTCTCAAACTTGTTATCCGATTTGTAGTAGACTATAATAAGCAACTATTTTCTGTTACATACATGCCAGTGTCATTCAGGCCCGTCTCGGTGCAAGCAAAGTAATGATGAAATAATGTACTTACCAATAAATGAGTTTCCCAACCACAATAAAATCAGTCATCTATCAACCAACGACTGATTCGTTTCTCCCTGGTACATTCGCGATAAAATTATACTTATTCACTGAGATTGAAGGGTCTTTACTTATTCGCAGTCTGGTATTCTTAAAATGTAATTGCAATTACGATCGCAGAACTTTCACCAAAAAGCCCATGTTGAAAAAATCATTGTTATGGATATTAAAAGCGACGCCTTGACGAACAAATTGTGATTTATTATTTTTCTTTGTCTTCAGGGTGGACCTAACACAGTGCTGCGTGTGATCATAGAACACATGTTATACCCGATAGTTCTCGACGTGCTCTACTCTATCTTCCAGCGGTACGGGAAGGTGCTCAAGATTGTCACATTTACTAAAAATAGTAAGTAGTCTACACGTAGTATATTTTTTCGTTATGATTCTTTACTTTGGTTTTTAATAACGAAACTTCTTAACAATGTATTCCGTATGCAGACAGATACAGTTGCGTCAGTGTTAATAATAAGGTTTCAGTTAAATATATTTAAATTATATATCGATATATGCGATCTCTACAGTAACTGTAAATGTTATTAAATTTGTATTGAATCAATTCAATTATTTTTTGTGAAATTACTCCATTAATTTGTTAGAATTATAAGTACAAAGATCGAACAAAAAAATTTTTACAAAAAAATCCGACCGGATTCGAACCGACGTCTTCTAGCAAACCGTGACAGACGCTCTGCCAACTAAGCCACGGAAAGAACCAGAGGATCTTACGAATTTTTCTACGAGCTTGTTGGCGGATATTTGTATTTGGTTGTCAAGGACTTTTTAACCGTAGCGCCATCTATGAGAAATCTATGAAAGAATTTCGTCACCCAGTTACTTAACAACTACCATGTAAATATTATTTTATTAAATGCATTGGCGTAGCATGAGGGCTGCACAGGGTGCCATGGCCCCAGGCGGCACAGCTATGGGGGCGACAGCGAGCGCGGCCAAGTCCTAACTAGTCAAAATTATTTTTTACTTAAATTTAGAAAATAAATGCCACTATATGCGAAAACGACATCCTGTACAACATAAAGATGGCGACGCAAGCGAACATAAAAACAGTCGAGCCGAGCTTGCCGGAACGAACTACTTGTGTAATCGTGAAAATAGAGTTAGCATATTTAAGATTGGCCCCGGGCGGCAGAAATAGACGCTACGCCGCTGATTAAATGTAATATAACTTAAACATTGTAAAATATAGTACAAATAAAGTTAAAACCATTCCTCTGTGATCACATTAATAAATCGTAAACTGGGATAAGGATCTTTTTATGTTTTCATATTTCCACCGCCACTATTACTATTGTTTACTACGAAATAAAACTGATGTATCTAAAGTACGAGTAGTTATAAAACACATGGTAATTTTTTCAAATGTTACAACATTCGTAATTATATATCTCTGTCTACGTTGTCTTTTTTTTTTATAATATCAAGTGACAGGACGGACAAATTGTGCGCCGTATGGTAACTACACGCCTGCGCATAACAGCTGCATTGCCACTAAGAACTTTAAACCGCAAAAATTTCAAGGTCATTGTCACTGCGCCCGTCATTCTGAGACATAAGTTGACAAGTCTCATGTGCCTGTAATTTCAACAGCACCTTTACCCTTCTAAACTGGAACACATTAATGCTTGGCGGCAGAAATAGGTAAGGTGGCAGGACGAACTCTAAAATTGTTTTATTGTCTTATTAATTTGAAACGAATTGAGTTCAATTTCTCTGAAATGTCTAAGTCTTTAGAAGTTTCGTATTTTGAAAGAGAACATGCAGGTATACATTAATGTACAATACATTAACGATTAACAATTTCGATATCGTTTCGCAAAGTTTTCATAAATCATAGATTTATATAATTCATGAGTTTCATTTCTAAAGTTCTACAGTATAGACGTTTTTAACCTTCACCTTCGTTTACAAATAGCCTATTTACAACTCACTCCTAAACTTGTACGGTTTTAGTCCTCTAAGGGACAAAGTGGGTGTTTCAACCTTGTTATATTACAATCTTAGGGTCATATTCTAGAACTCTACTCAATGCTCAAGTCAGGATTTGAGCAGACTTGAGTATGATTTCAAGCACTGGAAATACGACTCTAATGGCAAGGACTTGAGTATGATTTTCAGTGCTCACTGCAATACTCAAGTCCTGACTTGAGCATTGAGTAGAGTTCTGGAATACGACCCTCAGTCGCTCAATCCTCCATTTACATACGTTCTATCTCGAAACAGATTTTTTGTATCGACTATTTGCGGGCTTATATGTGTCGAAATTTGTGTGAAAACGACTAAAAACATTTCTTGAGTTTGTCTTTAATCTTATTAAGTAATATTAATACCTAAGTCTGCAATGTTTTCAGAAATATAGCTTTTCTCAATTCAAAGTGCTCATAATCAATCGTAGGTATTCCCCATAGTAAACTGGATTTTTTGCGTGTTCCAAATTGTTCGTTTCAGCAAAAGTTGATCATTTTCATAATGGGTTCTTTCAACCATTTAAAGGTATAGGTTTTTACCCGCGTACAATGTCTTCTAACGGTGATAATGAGTACACTTTAAATAATATATTGTTTAAATAATAAAGTATATTGTTTTCCCAAACTTTTGTTTTTATACCGTGTATATATGTACCGTGTAGTTGTGAGTACGAAGCCCTGCGGATTTCAAGTGAGCTGATGCTCTGACTTTAAAATTTACTTTTGTCGTGTTATTAATAGTGATAGATATGTCTAACAGCGCCGGTCCAAAATCTAAGAGCGCAATCCGTTTAAAATTTAAATCGCACCCTCATGCATATACTAAATAAATCCGTCGGTGTACTAGGTAGGTAAGTACATATTTGATAAGCCCTCCAGCCTCCATGCGTACTGCTCACTCCCTGCTAATTATACACCTAGTTGAGAACCTCAAATGAACTCTATTTAAACTTGGGAAGCTTTCAGTATTTTATAGCGTGGAATATTTTACAACGTAATTTTTTTTTTATTAGAAACGCAGCGTTTAAAAAGTATGAAGATTAAAATGAATAATAATAGCGTATAAAACAAAATCTGTGCATAACATGATATTTTATTGTTACACTAATGAACTTATCAAATGCTCAACTTTCTTCCTTCGCAATTAATTGCCTCATAAATTCAGAACCGTGTAAGTTCGTCGTAATATTGCACGACCAGAGGTAAAGCAATTATTGCCTCCGTTAATCTGATTAACACAATCATATACTTATACCTAATGAAGCCAATTCCAGTCCCGGTACTTGGAGATGAGACTTTGAATCTACCTCAGTCTATTTATGTGACGGTAACTTAATTGCTAATTGTTTGTTTCCGGCATTTCATTTTCAGTTTTAATGTTTTCGCTTTGTCGTGTTATATTTTGCGATTCTTTTAGAGTATAAATGGGTATTCAACTTGTGGGGTAAAAAAAATATGAGTCTGGTAACTTACGATACCATTTGAAATCAATTTCGTTATCTGTATCATTGATTAAAACATTTATTGATTTATTTAAAACACAGTAGTAATTCACAAATAACGTACATATAATAAATTTATAAAAAATTATTAAAATAAATGAATCTTGAACCTATCTGTGAGATATCAGAGACGCTATAAATGGTTTTAAAGATTAGTGAAATAAAAACATCAAAAGTGTCTAGGGAACAAGCACATGTTTGCCAATTACTGAAAACCAGGTGTTTCAATTTTTTTTAACACCGTTGGGTTTTTTGTCAATTTTATAATTTGAATTTGAAAATGAAATTAATAAAAAAATCATGGGTGTTGAAAAATTCATTAAAAAACCTGATTATCATTAATTAGCATAAACGTGCTTGATCCTTCCCTAGACACTTTTGATGTGTATACCTTAGTGCTAATTTCATTACAGTCCCTGCACTTACGAAATAACTGGTTATTGTACGACACTTAAGTTACTAATCGTCGGGCATAGTGCAATTACGCCTAACTTGCAATTTGATTTTGTTAAGAGTTTCCATTTCGGTAACTTAGTGGCCAAATCAAATCCGCGTAAATGTCGCGGCAATCAAATTAGCGTGATGTACGGGAGTCTATTGTTATCAGTCCATAGACAACAGAAATGAATGCTTATTGTGCAAAAATGGAAGTCGTAGCCATTGAAATAAACAAAATGTTAAATCCCTGTCCTGTGAAAATTGGTTTAGTGCAGATACGCGCTTTTTACCAACACTACATACGCGGATTTGCATTATCTCCGACGTAATGGTACATAATAAAGTTTTAGCGTGCAATATTATCTTTTAATCATAAGCCCAACCTGATTCAACAATTCACTAGCATCCCACACTGAGTTATATAATACAGCAGTACGAAGATCGTCTACTCTCTAGGATCTCAATTTTAAAATACCTTAATCTATCTTCATAGGACAAAACGTCTTCCCAACAAATTTGAAACCAATTTTAGTTTTAAATATCTCAAGAAACAATTCTGTGTAGATTGGATCCTATTTTTATATCGATCATAATGCGAAGAGCAAACCACTGAATAATACCCACTGTGCATTAATATATAAATAATGTAACTGTGTAAATATTACAACAAAGATCGAACACAAAGAAAAATTCCTTCGATCCTGCTGTACTCGTTTCCATAAAGTGGCTGATACACGACACGATCAATTATAACAAACTAGTAACAAATATACGCGATTTAAATCCGGAAAAATAGTTTCATTTCCTGGTGGAGTAATTCCACAAAAATAATTGAATATCATGGTAGTAAAACATCGTGATATTCGATAAACTTAATACGAGAATACAACTGTGCGTTTTAAAAGTTTCACCGACTAGTATAGTATCAATGCACCGTACAGTATTTGTAAGTTTTATTCCGAAGCAAACCAGAGTAGCTTTGAGAATAACATCCAGGAATTAGCCGTTTGTTTAAGTTTAATCGCTGTAGCCAATCTTAGTACCGACCGGTGCATTCAGGAGTGCTCATAACTTGTCGGTATCGCGACGGCTCTTACTGAAACAGAGTTCTCAATTTCCGACGCCGATGTCCGCTTGCGCCGCTGCAAGTGTCCAAACATCATACTCTGAAATGCTGTAGGGCTGATGCAATAAATTTTTGATATTATCATTTCACTAATTTAACATATTATTTTGTAGGAAACCTATTTTATATAATAGATTTCTCCAAGCGACTTTGTATCTTATAGTTCCCTAAAAATCCGCTAGATGGCATTGAGTCATTTTATCTAAATTCTGCATCGCAGTGTTAAGGTTTTTGTCCTCGAATGGTGACTACTTCGACCGAATTTTGATTATGTGTGTATATGTGTGGTACTATCGAT